CACCCCCCCTTTAGATATTGATAAGCATTGATAAGATCCCCCTCAGCCCCCTCTTCTCCAGCTGAACAGCCCCAGCTCTCCCAGCCTTTCCTCAGGTGGAAGGTGCTCCAGGCCCTTCACCCTCGCAGTGGCCCTGCGCTGGCCCCTCTCCAGCAGCTCCTTGTCCTTCCTGAGCTGAGGAGCCCAGAACTGGACACAGCACTCCAGGGGAGGCCTCCCCAGCGCAGAGCAGAGGGGGAGGAGAACTTCCCTCGACCTGCTGGTTATCTGGCTGTTTAGAGCATCACCTCAAGCACACTGCACAACACAACGCCAGGTCACCAGTAACACCCAAATTCACCAAAACTTACCAAGGAACAGCTATCAGGGCTCACAGCGCAGCTCAGTGCAGTAGGAAGGATAAGGAGCAGACCTACCGAGGTGATCGCACACTTCCGCCAAGTAATTCTGCTTTGCAAGACCAAAGATTAAATGCTGCTGAACGATGTTTTACACCGAGACAGAGCAAGGGAAGGTGGCCATCCCGCGGCACAGAAAGCATCCGGGCTCATGCTCTCACAGCACTCGCTAGCTAACGCTGTGCAAGCTCCCAGTTCGTTCCTTGAACGAAGCTGTATCATTTTTCCTCTAATTTGAGGGATGATCAGTTGCCATGCACATCAGGGAAGGTGAAACAGATCAGCGTTCAGGACCTCATCCAGTTTAAACATTTGGGGTGGGCGGTGAAATAAAAGCAAGGATCGCCTTCTGCCAGGCTAGGAAAACTCGGCCAGAACAGACTGCTAGAACCAAAAAAACCCAGATTGCTGGGCTGCTATCAAAGCACCGGTGGGTTTAATACTCTGAATTTTCATTTTGGTTAAAGACTCACATGCCCCGCCGAGAACTACAGGGCTATTTGCTATTTTCATATTTACTGATGAAAACTACTTGCAGGTAGAGCCACGAATCCTCTTCATTTTCTGTGCGGCTCAAGGCGGGATTTGAAGATGCTGAAGTATTTTAAATCAAACCCTTCTTTTCCTCTCCTGCAGATACCCGGAACAAAGCGTGGCTTTTTTATTCCTGGAGTGTAACCAACAGAT